TAACTCTTCACACATTTTAAAATCTTAATAAAATATTTTTTTTTTCAATCATCTCTTTTTACTTTCACATGCTTTAAACCTAGATTATTCTTGGTGCAACACAGATATTGATTGATGAATAAATCCTTTGAAAACTAAAACATGGAAAATCTTCCAAGAATATCTATAACTAGAATATGATTCCTTTAAAATCGAGGCTATAGCAACACTGCAGCTTTGAATTTTTTTATTATTTTTTGAATAGATTTAAATTTGAAGGAAGGGAACTTGAATCTAATACGCAAATTAAAGTTGGAGATGCACCTTCAAAGATTTACCAAAAAGACAGAAAGACAAATTCCGCTCAATATTCGCAATAAAATGGGAGATCCTTCGACTCTTTCTTTTTGTCTGTCTTTGTTCGGTTAGTTAGTTGGAATGCTTTGATTACATAGAAAATATAATGTAATTAATTTATGGTCAACACAATTGTTTGTATTTAAGATATCATATTTACTCTTTTTCTTTTTCTTAATTTCAAATTTAATCCTTTTTTTTGTAATTTTAATTTATATAATAGATAATTTTTTTTCTACTTTAATCTATTTTATTTGTATACTATGAGACTCAAATTTAAAATTTTTTATTTTTACTAAAAAAATATTATAACTAAACTATTTAAGTTGCTATTCACAATATTACCCTTAATTTTAAAGGAGTATTGTATTATGTGCCCTTAACGTTTAAGATGATGTAGAATGATGTAGCATAATGAGGTCAAGGTATTAAACATTATAAGTTTGGATTATTAATAGTAATTGGCTCCAACATTTATATACCACTTATAATTATAGGTTTTTTCTTGACATAGATCAATTAGAGTATGAAGTGTCAGCATTCTATAGTCTTTATCAATTTGAATGATTAGAATATATTGGAATTTAAAATTAACTCATACATATTACGAGATTAATTCTTCTTCAACAATCTGATTATGATATATATTCCGAACCATGTGGGATTAACTATTTAATATACTCCCTTTAGTCTAATATAATCTTAATACTTTATCCATTTACAATTATTGAAAAACTTCATTTAATACAATAATTTATACTTATTTGTTCATTTTAACCCAAAATAACAATTAAACAAAAAAAAAAATCTCTATTTCCAAGACAATGGTAAATTTGGAATAATAGTAATTAACATCTTTTAAAGTATAAAGTAAAACAATTAATTTACATCACCTTTATTTAATAATTTTGAGAACTAAATCATATAAAAAATGTATTAGATATATGTATATATATTTAACAACACACATTGAAAAAAAAAAAAAGAAAAAGAAAAAAGGAACACACATATGTTCACGGGATCAATAAGATTAATTAAGAACCCAAATTAAGAGGTGTGATTATGGCCACATATATAAATATTAAGGTTACACAATATTATTTTTAAAAATATCAATTTATTTAGTTTAATTATTAAAAATAAATAATATAATTAAT